AGTTGCAACTAAATAATGCTAATTTGTTATCATATTATAACAGTTAAGGAGTTATTTTTAATCAAGACAAAAAATTAAATATATATATTAATATAATTAAAAATAAAGTGATATTGAAAAAGTTATAGATATATATTTTTTAGTTAATAACTATTATTTTGTGATCATAAATTACAATTTTAGTTCTTAAAATCATGAAAAGTCAAATAATATCAAACTAATAATAGAAGAAAAATACCAAACTACTATAAATAAACTTCTAGTTCATCTGAAGGAGAAGATATTATAAGCTTATTTTACTTTAAGCAATAATCAACTTATTGATATATTTGTATTTCTATCACTTTATAAATGAATTTGAATAACCAAGAATAGTTAGCAATCAATGAGAATTAATTTCAAATATTATTAGAATATTTTACATCATCATCACATTCAAGATTATCCAAGGAAAATGAGTTGGTAATCAAGATATTGCAATTGTATCATGATTGATACAGCTCAATTTATTTCAAATCATATATGTTTTCTAATCAAGAATGTGTGAGGCATCTCTACTTTTTCAGGTAAAGGAAAAATGCTTTGAGAAAAATGAGGTGAGTTTTGAAGTTATGCTATACCGCCAATATGCTCTGTATCAATCAAATCTTCAAAAGCATCACATACACAATTTGAAAACAATATTTTCTTTGAGAAAGAAGATTATGATGATGGCATCTTGAAGTTTGATGATGTTGATGATCTATGTTTTAAGGATAGTGAGGAGACTAATGTGTATTGATTCTATATTATGTAAATAGTTATATATTTATATCTTAATTGCCCAAATCATGCCAGAAATATTAGAATAGGACAGTAATGACAGCAAAGAATGGAGGCTTATTTATCGAATCGAATGCTCATGAGATACTGTCATTGTCATCGATTTTTTTGCTTACTCCAAGCGCTCACTCAAAAGCCATGATCAATCTATTTGGTTCCCACTTGCTTGATGAAATACACAAGCAAAAAATTATGCCAGTCCAGGACACAACATTAAAATATGAGTTAAAATTCAGCGAGGCTATCAAAAAAGCAACAAAAAAATTCGCGCGAATGTGCCACTGAGTGATTCTATACAGAAATTGCAAATTATCGAAATTTGAGGGAACTCTATTATATTTTTAAAAAACTAATTATAATAAAACACATAAATTAGTTTACGGTAAAATCTACGGAAGATAAAAAACATGTGGGCGCATATTGAGAATGAATTATCGAGAATAAGAGTTGAAAATTTAGATTATGGCCATCCATTGTGTAATGGGGATTCTGGATGATATGTCGGAGAACTTTGGCATTGAGAAAATCAGAAACGAACCCAGTGAAATGATATTTATAACGAATTGTTTAGACAATATTATGAAGGGAACGTTTCATGATGCAGATAAACACGTCGTTCAATGGACCAATACTGCTCTGAGTGAAAGCAAATCAAGAAAGTTTGAAGGCCGTAGTAAGCAACCAGATTTTGTGGTCAATAACATCCATCAATTCCAAACCGATTCTGCTATATGTATTGATGAAGTCTGCGCAACATCAGAAAAAAACAACGTGTATAAGATCTTATTCGGCTCGGTATTTTTATGAAAGATTGCTTAGATTCAGCAATTGACAAAGGCGCTGATATTCTCATGATGGATTTTCAATGTGTCGGCAAGATGTAATATGCTTTTTTCACGAAATTTTAACCATATTTTGTCATTTCACTGACAATAAAATCGATTTTTATTTTCATGGATCTGATTCAAGGAACCTATTTCATGATCCATGTTGGCCAAATTGTAATTCCTAGTTCCATAAAGGAACTGTTATTTTTTGTCGATGAAATTGAAAGCCTTATGAGAGTACGAGGGATTTTTAAAATATTCTTCGATACTTTGTATGATAAACTCTGTAATCCAGGTTTGCCATCAGCAAAGGCAAAATACAAACGCGACACCTTTGCCACACCCAAGTTCAATCGGCTTGCGAGTAAGACATGAAATTGCCACAGAATCTGTCCGCTTTGGTATGGACGCTTTGATTAAAAAAAAATGATTGATAAGCTGTGATTCGATCGCAGTTATATCGCTATGTATCGAAAAATATTATAATAAAGTATTCGTTCGTTCACATCGGGCTTGTTTTTTATATGAAATGTTGGGGGTGTGCTATAATATTATCCAAATCAAAATATCGGTGAAGTGACGAATTTTTTATTTACATAATTTTGATCATATGATTTCGATGAAGTGACTTCGCAGAAAACCTTAAGTTATACATTTTGAATGATATATTAAAACTCAGAACTAATTATGTCATCCAAACTATTAAGATGATTTTTTGTCTCTTTTAATTCTATTATTACTTATTGTTCTTCTTTTCTATGCACACATTTATTTTCTATTCTTGTAATACATGTGCATGTATTCGGTAAAAGTTGTTTCGCGTCATCAAAAAGGAAACAGCTAGGCATGTATATTTCGTCCTTCCGAGTGAATGAGTAAAAAATTAAATTATCATTCCATTTAGGTGTTAAGGTCACAGGACTAATTACATGTAATATGATATTACAAAGTCGTAAAGTTTAATTTTCCAGTGTGCAATTCGATACACATGTTACTAGCTTAATTGGTTTTCTTTCATTCGATCGAATAGCAAACATTAATAACGCATATTTAGAAGCATTTGCTGCCAAAAATTTTTAGAGAAAAATAAAGTTTCCATTATAAGATTGGACGACACACACACACACAACTTTATTAAGACGAGGAGAAAATTTTTCCTTCCATTTTTTGCTAATGCAGTTCCAAAAATTAGCAGCCTTAGCACAAAAACTGGTAACACTAGCCCACTTGGTATAAATAGACAAATCTCTCTAATAATAAAAAAATACGCTTCATTAAATCTTAAATCATACTAAAAATAATCTGAATTTCCTTTAACAGGGAATGTTTGGTTTTGCTATTGCTACTTTCATTGTTTCCCTTTACAACAATTCGCGATATTACACACCCGGGCGTAATCGTAAGCGTAACCTTATTTAACGGAGGTTTTGTACAAATTTTAGCTGGAATGTGGGAATTCAAAGTTGACAACACATTCGGGCTACTGACTGCTGTGCATATTGGATTTCCTATGCCACAATTCTAATGGGTTTAATATTATCTCCGCATATACATTTAAATCTGAATTGAATCAATCACTTGGAATTTACCTACTCGGCTGGACAATATTTGCGTTTCTCTTGTTTGTGGCCTCATTTAAAGCGAAAGTTTCCATGGTTCTATTAAATTTCTCTGTAATAATAACATTTTCCTTATTGACTGCTTCAAAGTTCCTAGAGAATGCCGATATTGAGAAAGCCGGTGGTTTTTCGGGGCCTGAATTAAGCTTAATGCGGGCCGTAACTCGAAATAACGCGCATGGACGTTATTTCGGTATATTTCCAGTGCATATTGTTGCATTTATTACCAAATTCAAGATGTTCGTTTTCATTTAGGTTTTGTTTAAGGTTGCTAATGGTTTGTTAATGCTTTAGTAGATTTAGCATGATCGAGAAGTGGCATAATAGGCACTGAAGGTGTCAAAAAAATTTTTATGAAAAATGAAATTATACTAAAAAAAGTTGACAAAAAATGACAAGTCATAAAATTATCCTTATGAATGACACGTGTTTGAATATCAAGTATCAATTAGATTGTATTGTGATTATTAATAAAAGAGTGCCATAAACTATTCGAATGGATTCCTTTTGAAAGGTTTACCAACGTTGAATATCTTGCAAAGGAGGCTTTGGGACAATTTATAAGTACTCTGTTTGGATGGACATCATATGGAGAATGGAATCATGAAGAAAATAAATTTAAACGATATGGAGAAATAGAGGGACTAAAAGGAAAGCCGTACACTAACGCTACAATTTATAGTTTTGGTATGGTTATGTACGAAATTGTAACAGGCGAGCTGAACGGAGTTTTGTAATGGCATACGACCTAAATTTATTGTTGAAAAATGCCATTCCAGAAAACAGACCAATCGCTGAGGAACTTTATCGGATCTATCGACTCTACTGAAGATGTTATTAAATATAATAGGAAATTGTATCAGAATATCTCTTTAGAATATTTTAAAGTAGACGAAGAAATTAAAGGAGTCCCTTAAACAAAGAACGGCAAAAAATCATACGTACAATTAACAACATTACTTTAAATAACAACTGATACATTTAATTTTTATAATGGCATTTCAGATTGATTCAATTTATATTTAGGTTTTACAACTGTTCATTCGTATATTCCAAACGAAAATACACGTAACTCTAAAATATGATATAGAATTCAATAACAAATGAAGGTAAAAATTATTAAATACTACAATTATAAACATGTACAAAGTGATGAATGTGATAAAGATATCGATGCAATGCCAAATCAGTTTAACATGTACATGTAAATGGTAAATCACACACATTTAATTATGATATAATAAATGACATCCATTATCGAAAAAATGAATTTATTACTATTGACTTTATAAAGCTGAATTATCAAACGAAAAACAAAGGATATGATGGTCGAATAAAAGATTCAGAGGGAATTTCCATTTGAAAAATTTACCAATGTTGAATATCTTGCAAAAGGCATTTATAAAGCATCACTACACTGTTATGAAGAAAATAAATTTGATAAACGCGAAGTTGTGTTTATGAATTATAAAGAATTCAATTTTTAATGTGTAAAGTACATGATTCTTTTTCTAATACAATCAAGTTATTCAGAGTAGATCTGGGCTGTTCTAAGTACAGTGATGGTTACTTTTGGAATAAGTTATTATGAAATAACTGTTGCAAATGAACATTCATAATGACTTTTACAGAAGATGATCTTCGTAAATACATGTATTTACGAAAAATTGAAAAATCAAGCTATTTTTACGCTGAGCTATAAGTGGATGTCCTAATTTTATTGATTAATAAAATGACATGGCAGCCATATGAGACACATTGTATTATTGGTAATTCATCATAATACTCACCTTCACCATAATATTTACTTTATCTTATATGTACAATGAGCGCTCGATACGATAATGTGATCGAGGAAGAGATTTTGTGCTATCATATGCGAAATTTTTTAAACAATCAAGATAATTACATGTAAGATAACTTTGGGGCGTGGTATCTTGTCATACAACGGACAAAGATAGTACCATACGATTCGCGAATCAAATGGACCTATTTTTGTCCAAATTGGACGGTTGTATGACAAGATATCGCGTCCCAAAGTTACTGGATTTTTTATCATCGTAATAATCTAAATGTTTTCGGTTTGCAGAATTTCAAGAAATGCAGTAACAGTAAACTGGCACTAATAAAATTTATTTAATAAAATGCACAATTATATATTATTCCGCAATTTGTAATATACAGTATATTAAGAGTGGACGTGCAATTAGATTTCAAATCCCGCAAGGAAAGTTATTCACTTGGTTGCCAAATGAAAATTGAATTTTAGACACAGACTCTAAATTATCAGGTAGCCATACTAATTTCCCTTTCAAAATTCTGATTAGACGCAAGCAAATCTCATTTTATTTTGCAGTAACTTTCTGGGCGTTTGTTTTGCCAAATATTTTTGTTAGCAGAAATAGATTTATACAAAGATTATCCAAAGTGAGCAAAATCTATATTTGGTTTTCTCCTTTCATTACCAATATCAATTCCGTCAAAGACGCAATAAAATCGAAGAGAGTAAAATTTAAATATTATGGTAATATTTACGGCAAAACAAATCCAATACAAAAAATCAAGGAAGTGAAATGTTAAAAGAAAGAAACGTATAGCTTGGAGCATTAATTATCTCTATATCTAACCTAATCTAATCTTGAAAAATTCATCAATACAAGGCACTGTAATCAGCGCTTTAAGATACAGTCTATACAATTGAGTTCACTTTTCCCGATCCAATTAAACTTTTGATTTTTTTAAATCTACATTATATAGGGATTTGTTCAAGTGAACCTTCGTTAAAGTGAACTTACTGTGCGTATTTTAAATTTAGCATCACTTAATTACATGTATTTGAGAATATGATAACATACAGTTCATGTAGCTGAAGTCGTTTATTTGTCAAGATTTATGAAGGCATATATGCATTGTTTTGCCTTGCGAAATTTTTATGCAAAATTCTATGGAAGCTTATTATTGTAAGTGTTGATATCACCGATTCGTTCAAGCGAACCTTCGTTAAAGTGAACTTTACTGTGCATACTTTAAATTTAGCATCATTTAATTCACGTATATTTTGAGCACTCATATCTATTTACTATAGACATGCACGTATGCATTACATGTAAATATGTAGCTATCGCTATTTATTTGTCAAAAATTTGCATGTACATATAAATATATATATACAGTTTGCTTTGTGAAAATTTTTATGTAGGTTTCTATTAAATAAGGAAAATTTATTATTGTTGTTGTTATCAAGGTCACAAAATAAAAGTCTATGAGCATATCTATTTTTATTCTTGGAAAAATGCTTCAATAATATTAGCGTCTTCAATGTTTTCCTTTGAATTATCATTGGCATTGACTAGCGTTATCATTTGCATATTATTATTTATGGCAAGTGCATTTAATATTAAATGTTTAATATATTCAAGCAACAAATATTTCTGACGGAACATTTTTCTTATAAAAAGAAATGCACGTTCGTTCGTTCCCTCACAAATCTTCATTATCCATTTCTCGAATTAACAAACAAAAATTCGAAAACCAACACAAATAAAAACTTTGAACATCAATAAAAAATAACAATGATGACCTTAAAGAAATTCGTTACGATCGCTTTGATCCTGACAATTTGTCTTTTCGTTTTATCTGACGCGGCTCCCACCACTGGACAACAAACTATTGGTGGTGACGGTGGTAATGGTGGTCGCGCTGATGGAGGACCCGCCACATCCGATTCATCAGGCAGAAACAGCATAGCTATCGCCATCGGCGGTCAGGCCATTGGCGGTAACGGTGGTAAGGGCGGTAATGGTGGTATGAATGCGGCCCAAGAAGAATGTGATGCCAAGAAGCTTTCTGGCTCTTTTACTAGCTGTTAATTCTTTCAAATTATTCAAAGCATTTCATGAATACATATTTTATGTAGAATAGTCTTTTTTAGTAAATGATGTATTAAACCAGTCTGTACGACAATAAATTGACTATTAAAATTGGCTAATGAGAAATCACGAATTCAAGACTCTGCATTACACAAATTTTTTAGTTCACCGATGAAATTGTTTTCACGATAACGTATATTTAATTCACGTTGTCGTGTGAAAGATGGTTAATAATTGTATAGATATGTTGTTTCAATGCTAATGTTAATAGTATTAATAATAATTGTCAGGGAAGAATGGAATCGTGGGAATTTAACAGTCCTAATACATGTAGTAGCGGTAGATTATTTTTATATTAGTAATTAGCGTTTAATTTAAATCGAAAAGTATTTATGGTTTATCGTAGAGTGCTGACTATAATAACCACTTATACATAGCATAATACTCCAACAATTTGAGTATCAAATTTCCTAACTCGTCGCATAAACTACTGGAATCTGCTACATTTCACCAGAAGATTTAATTGGTAAAAAAAGAAAACTATAAATAAAAGGGGGGGGGGGAGGTTCTTTATGAGGGAAGTAAGTTTATGAGGCGAATTACGGTACCTGGTATTAATCACAGAACTAGTAATATAGCATATGTCTTATGCAATTTTATTTTATATTATATATCAATTAAATTTTAAATTTACTTAATTAGAAATTCTTAGTTACCTACTAATTATGCATAACAGCGCCGAATTTAAATTGAACATAGAATGTTAAATATATCACCACATAATCTCGCGTAATTACTATTTTTGAAATATATTAGGCTCAATAACTTGAGATTCAGTATAACAAACGAGTATAAAACATACTCGATTTTCGTCACGATGTTTTCGAGATATTGTATTCCAAAGAGGTCGTATGAGTGATTTTGACATATTTTTGATGAAAGATTTTACACACGATCTCTTTGTAAGCTCAATGTCTCGAGATTAAATGGCGGAAATCGAGTGTAAGTCCACCATTCGATTCACCATAACCCAGGTTATCTAATGGTTTGCTTTACATTCGATTCCCGATCTCGAGAAATTAAACTCCAAGAGGCCTGTGAAAATCGTTACCAAAATTTTTAACTATTTTATTAGTATTAAGATATATATAATAAAGTACTTTTTTACAAATTAACGTTAATATATACAATAAGAAAAGCACCATAAAAATACATAATTTATAATTTGCCTATATCGATATAATTTATATTTTACAATCACACAAAATCAGTAACTCTGATATAATAATTTTGAATTTATGGTATCAGGGAGGGGTCAATTTTATAATATAGTGAAGATTAAAAATTTTTTCTTATTTGAAAGTTTATATTAAAAAATAATTTCGTTTTTATTATTAAAATAAGGCTTATACTGTAGTTTATGTTATTCTAATTGTAAAATCGCTACAAAAATTTTCTGATTACAAAAGAAATTTAATTAGAAAAAATTTTTGGAACAGCACTTTAAAAATATCTATAAATTTATATTAAACTATAGTATACACTTTATTTAAAATCATCTCTTAATAAAATTATAAAATTTAAAGTAAGGAGAAAATTTCAGTCTTAATTATATTTTATTAATAAAATTGACCTCTGTATTCTTAATTATGAGAGTTATTTACATAAAGTTTATTATTGGAATAATCATTTATTAACATAATAAATTTAAAAATAAGCACTAATCATATTTTCTTTAATTGAATTATAAATAATTTTTATTGTTTATTTTTCAAAATTCAAATTCAATACTTTTAACAAAAATTTCAAGAAATAATATTATTCTATAGAAGTTATAATATTAAAACAAAGAACATTTTACAAATTTCACAAATTTAAGTCCTAAATAATCTTTCAAATACACGTAATGATGGTTCTTAGATACATATGTTGAGATATGGTTCTCGCTTCACCCACACATCAGAAAGTGCCACAGCAAAATATTGGGACTGTTGATAAAGGCGTGTTGTGCATTCAGTATTAATATCGCAAAAATGGCTTTTTTGTAAAATACAGCTAGTTTATTTTAATGTGAAATCAAGTGTACATTTGACTTTTGTAGTATGAAAAAGTTGCTTTTTTATATGAATAGTTATTAAAAATCGATATTGAAATTTTGTTGAATATTTGTCGAATTTTTTTATAGGTTGTTTGTTGAACATTTAATTAAGAAAAATTCCTCTTATATATATCGTTTTAAAAAAATCGGTACGTGCAAATTTAAATTTAATTGATATATAATCTGAAATAAAATTACATATTTATATTACTAGTTCTGTGATTAATATCAGGTACCGTAATTTCCCGCATAAATTTACTTCCCTCATAAAGAACCTCCTCCTTTTATTGATAACTTTCTTTTTTTACTAATTAGATCTTCTGGTGAAATGTAGCAGGTTTCAGTAGTTTATGCGACGAATTAGATAATTTACAAAATTTGATACTCAAATTGTTGGAGAGTATTATGCTATGCATAAATGGTTATTATAGTCATCACTCGACGGTAAACCAAAGATAATATTCTATGGTTTAAATTTAAATTAACATTAATTACTAATATAAAAATTCATCAACTATTGTTAAAGTTCCATGATTCCATTCCTCCATGATGTTTATTATTAATAATATTAGATTAGCATTGAAACATGT